ACACTTTTACAGACGACGTCCCAGAGGATTTAAAAAAAACGTGCAACATCCACTAAACTCAGAGTTTCAGCTGCTTCCCTCTGGTCTGAGGCTTTTAGTCCCAACATCTAGAACAAATCGTTTTAAAAGGAGCTTCGTTCCAGCTGCTGTCGCATTTATGACTAAACTGTCATCTATTTATCGAAAGATTGTGTGTTTTTATGTATTTAATATTTATTGTGATTTTAGCCAAACGTGATGGATGAATTTAACTCATTGTTTACAGAACAAAATCGTTCTACCCTCGAGCTCTGACACTTTATTTTGACCTGACGTTCCTTCGTGTGTTCCTGACGTTCCTTCATGTTCTTGATGTTCCTTCATGTGTTCCTGATGTTCCTTCATGTGTTCCTGACGTTCCTTTGTGTGTTCTTGACGTTCCTTCGTGTGTTCCTGATGTTCCTTCATGTGTTCCTGACGTTCCTGATGTTCCTTCGTGTGTTCCTGACGTTCCTTCGTGTGTTCTTGACGTTCCTTCGTGTGTTTTTGACGTTCCTTCGTGTGTTCCTGACGTTTCTTCTTGTGTTACTGACGTTCCTTCGTGTGTTCCTGACGTTCCTTCTTGTGTTACTGACGTTCCTGATGTTTCTTCTTGTGTTCCTGACGTTCCTTCATGTGTTCCTGACGTTCCTTCGTGTGTTCTTGACGTTCCTTCGTGTGTTTTTGACGTTCCTTCGTGTGTTCCTGACGTTCCTTCTTGTGTTACTGACGTTCCTGATGTTTCTTCTTGTGTTCCTGACGTTCCTTCATGTGTTCCTGACGTTCCTGACGTTCCTTCGTGTGTTCCTGACGTTCCTTCATGTGTTCTTGACGTTCCTTCGTGTGTTCCTGACGTTCCTTCTTGTGTTCCTGACATTCCTGATGTTCCTTCATGTGTTCCTGACGTTCCTTTGTGTGTTCTTGACGTTCCTTCGTGTGTTCCTGACATTTCTTCTTGTGTTCCTGATGTTCCTTCATGTGTTCCTGACGTTCCTGACGTTCCTTCGTGTGTTCCTGACGTTCCTTCGTGTGTTCTTGACGTTCCTTCGTGTGTTTTTGACGTTCTTCGTGTGTTCCTGACGTTCCTTCTTGTGTTACTGACGTTCCTGATGTTTCTTCTTGTGTTCCTGACGTTCCTTCATGTGTTCCTGACGTTCCTTCGTGTGTTTTTGACGTTCCTTCGTGTGTTTTTGACATTCCTTCGTGTGTTCCTGACGTTCCTTCTTGTGTTACTGATGTTCCTGATGTTTCTTCTTGTGTTCCTGACGTTCCTTTGTGTGTTCTTGACGTTCCTTCGTGTGTTCTTGACGTTCCTTCGTGTGTTTTTGACGTTCCTTCGTGTGTTCCTGACGTTCCTTCTTGTGTTACTGACGTTCCTGATGTTTCTTCATGTGTTCCTGACGTTCCTGACGTTCCTTCGTGTGTTCCTGACGTTCCTTCATGTGTTCTTGACGTTCCTTCGTGTGTTCCTGACGTTCCTTCTTGTGTTACTGACGTTCCTGACGTTTCTTCTTGTGTTCCTGATGTTCCTTCATGTGTTCTTGACGTTCCTGACGTTCCTTCATGTGTTCCTGACGTTCCTTCATGTGTTCCTGACGTTCCTTCTTGTGTTCCTGACGTTCCTTCGTGTGTTCCTGACGTTCCTTCGTGTGTTCCTGACGTTCCTTCGTGTGTTCTGACCTGACGTTCCTTCGTGTGTTCCTGACGTTCCTGACGTTCCTTCATGTGTTCCTGACGTTCCTTCGTGTGTTCCTGACGTTCCTCTTGTGTTACGTTCCTTCGACGTTCCTGACGTTCTTCTTGTGTTCCTGACGTTCCTTCAGTGTTCTGACGTTCCTGACGTTCCTTCATGTGTTCCTGACGTTCCTTCATGTGTTCCTGACGTTCCTTCTTGTGTTTCCTGACGTTCCTTCGTGTGTTCCTGACGTTCCTTCGTGTGTTCCTGACGTTCCTTCGTGTGTTCTTGACGTTCCTTCGTGTGTTCCTGACGTTCCTGACGTTCCTTCATGTGTTCCTGACGTTCCTTCATGTGTTCCTTATGTTCCTGACGTTCCTTCGTGTGTTCCTGACGTTCCTTCATGTGTTCCTGACGTTCCTTCGTGTGTTCTTGACGTTCCTTCGTGTGTTCCTGACGTTCCTTCATATTTCAGAGCACAGTGTAGTTCCCGTCTCTCGGTCTGACTCTGGTTCTCTTGTGTTTGTGATGTTCCAGCAGCAGCACCTGTCTCACGCGGCTCACGGCCCTGTCCCCCTGCCCGGGCACCCGTCGGGTCTGCACCCGTCGGGTCTGCACCCGTCGGGTCTGCAGCCCGCCGGGTCTGCAGCCGCCGGGTCTGCCCCCCGGCGCCGCCTCCGCCCCCGGCCTCCTGGCGTTAGGAGCTCTGGGGAGTCAGGCCCATCTCCCCGTGAAGGACGAGAAGAACCACCACGACCTGGAGCACAGAGGTGGGCACAGGGGCACGGGGGACAGGGGCACGGGGGGACGGGGGGGGCACGGGGGCACGGGCACGGGGGACGGGGGGGCACGGGGGCACGGGGGACGGGGGCGGGGGGGGCACTCATGTGAACATGGCTCCTCAGCATGGATGCTATTTTACCAGTTTATTAAAAAAAAGTTTATTTGGGGAGGGGGGACGGTCACTAAAGCTTCTGTATGATGGATAATTGAATCTTGTGAACTTTAAGACATGTTCTAATGTTCTAATGTTCTAATGTTCTGCTGTTCTGTGTTTCCTGGTCACACTCAGAGTTGGACTTGTGTTTGTTTGAGTAAATCTTTATTCTGAGTCTGTTACATCTGCAAACACTCTGTTCCACCTTGTGATGTCATCAAGTTCTCAGCTCCTTTTCTCTTTTGTTCAGTCGAGTTCGGCGACTCCGGGACTGAAATGTTCCATGTGATTCTAGTGAAGGTGTGTGGAGTTTAAAAACACAGTGGAGCACTTCCTGTATCACCACATGATGACATCACAAGGTGGAACAGAGTGTTTTCTTGTGTAAATGTGCAGGTTTGTGTTAAACATGTGAATGAAACAAAACCTGAGTCCAGTTTGTCCGAGTGACCAGGACAAACATCAGAACAGATCAGTTTCTTCATATGAAACATTTACACCAGGAAAAATGAAAAGTCTTTTTCTTTGTGTCCAGCTTCATTTTTTCTGGGGAAAAATGAACAAACAAAACTCACTCAGTGTTTGTATAAAGACAAACTTTAACTTTACTTTGTCATTTTAGAAGCTGGAGATTTTGTTCCATCAGTTCTGTTTATATAAAAATATTTTACAAACACAAAGTCAAAAGTGAAATGTTTAAAATACAAACTTCATATAAAAATGTTGTACAGAAGCTCAGAGTGTTGGAGCTGGCAGTGTGTGTTGTGTGTGTGTGTGTGTGTGTGTGTGTGTGTGTGTGTGTGTGTGTGTGTGTTGTGTGTGTGTGTGTGTGTGTGTGTGTGTGTGTTGTGTGTGTTGTGTGTGTGTGTGTGTGTGTGTGTGTGTGTGTGTGTGTGTGTGTGTGTGTGTGTGTGTGTGTGTGTGTGTGTGTGTGTGTGTGTGTGTGTGTGTGCTGTGTGTTGTGTGTGTGTGTCTGTGTGTGTGTGTGTGTGTGTGTGTGTGTGTGTGTGTGTGTGTGTGTGTGTGTGTGTGTGTGTTGTGTGTGTGTGTGTGTTGTGTGTTGTGTACAAACTCATTGTGTGTTTGTCTCTTTTCCTCTCGGCATCATCGTCACCACGACATCGGCTCCACAGAAAACACCGTGAGTACCACAAATACACACAAAATACACACAAATACACACAAATACACACAAATACACACAAAACACACAATACACACAAAATACACACAAATACACACAAATACACACAAATACACACAAATACACACAAAATACACACAAAATACACACACAAATACACACAAAATACACACAAATACACACAAATACACACAAAATACACACAAAATACACACAAATACACACAAAATACACACAACAAATACACATACACACAAAATACACACAAATACACACAAAATACACACAAATAACACACAAATACACACAAAATACACACAAAATACACACAAATACACACAAATATACACACAAAATTCACACAAATACACACTAAATACACACAAATACACACAAAATACACAGAAATACACACAAAATACACACAAATACACACAAAATACACACAAATACACAAATTACACACAAATACACACAAAATACACACAAATAAACACAAAATACACACAAAATACACACAAATACACACAAAATACACACAAATACACACAAAATACACACAAAGTACACACAAATAAACACAAATACACATAAAGTACACACAAATACACACAAAGTGCACAGAAATACAAGGAGAAGACAGTGGTTTACAGAGGCTGAGGAGGCTGTGGTTTTGCTGCTGCAGTGGAGATTCAGTGTAGAAAAGTTCTGTTGCTGTTTGTGGTTCTACAGTTTTTTTTGTTTTTGTTTTTTTTTGTTATTTTGTGTAAAGAAAGTGGATCTGAGTTTAGATTTCTTACGTGGTCATTTGCTGCATTTGAATGTCGTGGAAGGTGATTGGTTAAGAGTCAGAAGAGGTGGTTTGTGATTGGCTGAGAGCTGTGGTCATGTGACAGAGCTCTTCATGTTTGGGGTTTTTGAGGTTCCAGTTTGGTGCTGATCAGAGCTGCAGGTTTTACCACAGTTTAATCAAAACAGAACTTTACACAGTCGTAATGAGCTAAAACTGGGATTTTTCTCTCAAATGTTCAAGCTCCTGGACGTGTTTGAGAGTTCAAGTTTAAACAGAATCCTCCTGTGTGGAAAATCCTTCAGTCGTTCAGGGAGAATCCACGGCAAAGGACAAATTCAATCTGTGAACTGGACAAAAGTTTATTTTGGTCGAAAACGTAAAAGAGGAGAGAGCAACACAGGACCTCAGTCTGATGTCATAATCCACAAAAAGAACAATAAATATTTTTCACATCAGCGGTTTTTAAAATTCTAAAGCTAAAGGAACAAAAGATCTTCCACACTGGACTTTTGTGTGTAAAGAAATGTTAAATACATTTCTTGAAAACATAAACTGAACATTTTATCACGAGAAATCACAATCAGATCATTTTCCAAAACCGCTCAGTTCTACTCTTCATATTTACTTTACTTTTGTACTTGTACCTGAGTGAATCCTTGAGTGTGTCCTGTTCTCTCCTGAGCTCTGACTCTGTTGGTTTGTTGTGTCCTAAATCCTTCTTTCCTCTTGTTGCCAAGTTCTGAATATTAATGAGCTTAAATGGACCCGTGTTTGTTACTCCCTCCTCCTCCTCCTCTTCCTCCTCCTCGTTTTCTCTTCTTTCTCTTCTTCTGTGATCTCGGTGGCAGTCGGCGGTCTCCTCTGTGGTTTCAGGGCTCGGGTTTCTCAGATGGGACGCTGAATGGGCTCAGTGAGGTCTGAGGGAACAGAGGGAACAGAGGGAACAGAGCCGTGGTGTTCGGAGGCGACTGTGGCTCGGGTCATGTGATCCGACCGGTGACTCTGGGAAAAGTCGCTGCCGCTGAGAAAGAAATCTACGTTCAGACTGCAGCCTGAAGTGACCCACATCTGATGTTTTCACCTCTATGTTCCTGTATCTGATCTTTTAATGACAGAACCACACAGATCTGATCTTTATCAAATGTGACTCAAGACACTTGGATCTGTGCTCCTAAAACCCAAACAGATCTGATCTTCTGACATGTGCTTCAGTCTGAACGTCCAGGTCACATTCATCCACCTACACGTGTCACAAATGTTCACAAACGTTCTTCTCGTCAGGTGAAAACTGTGTGTGACTCTGTGTCTCCACAGTCTGACTCTGCACACACACGATCATTTCTACAAAACTCCAAAAACCTCGTCCTTCTCCTTCTCAGTTTCCTCCTGAAAACAAATCATCTGTTCATGTTCTGGCTCCGGTTCCACAGCAGCTTTAAAATCTCCAGCTGCTCGACGCTGCGTCCGTGTTTAAAGTTCACACTGGAGATTCACACACACAAGTCACGTTTAACTGGAAATGTGAACGAACTCGTGAAATAATCAGCCACAGGGAGCTTCCTGAGGATCTAAGGCTGAAGAGGAACAGCCAAAGACCAAGACCAGATTTAAAGACTTAAAAGTTCTGAAATGAAACATGGACCCGTTTACACTGAAACAAATCCATGTATCACAGTGTCAGAAACGATTTGTGTCCAGACACGTCGTTTCTGTGTCCACAGTCCTTCCCTCCACACGACTTCAACTTAAACCACACGACTTCAACTTAAACCACACGACTTCAACTTAAACCACACGACTTCAACTTAAACCACACGACTTATTTACATAAACTAATCTGTGTGAGAAAAACTGTTGTTTCTTGTGTCTGATGTGGTTCAGTTTGTGTTGGACTAAAGACACAGTGACTCATATGAGTGTTCTCCCTGTGACAGAGGGGTGTTCTCCCTGTGTCAGAGGGGTGTTCTCTCTGTGACAGAGGGGTGTTCTCTCTGTGACAGAGGGGTGTTCTCTCTGTGTCAGAGGGGTGTTCTCTCTGTGTCAGAGGGGTGTTCTCTCTGTGACAGAGGGGTGTTCTCTCTGTGTCAGAGGGGTGTTCTCTCTGTGTCAGAGGGGTGTTCTCTCTCAGAGGGTGTGTCAGAGGGTGTTCTCTCTGTGTCAGAGGGTGTCAGAGGGGTGTTCTCTCTGTGTCAGAGGGGTGTTCTCTCTGTGACAGAGGGGTGTTCTCTCTGTGTCACAGAGGGTGTTCTCTCTGTGTCAGAGGGGTGTTCTCTCTGTGTGACAGAGGGGTGTTTCTCTCTGTGACAGAGGGGTGTTCTCTCTGTGTCAGAGGGGTGTTCTCTCTGTGTCAGAGGGGTGTTCTCTCTGTGTTGTTCTCTCTCAGAGGGTGTGTCAGAGGGGTGTTCTCTCTGTGACAGAGGGGTGTTCTCAGAGGGGTGTTCTCTCTGTGTCAGAGGGTGTTCTCTCTGTGACAGAGGGGTGTTCTCTCTGTGACAGAGGGGTGTTCTCTCTGTGTCAGAGGGGTGTTCTCTCTGTGTCAGAGGGGTGTTCTCTCTGTGTCAGAGGGGTGTTCTCTCTGTGACAGAGGGGTGTTCTCTCTGTGTCAGAGGGGTGTTCTCTCTGTGTCAGAGGGGTGTTCTCTCTGTGTCAGAGGGGTGTTCTCTCTGTGACAGAGGGGTGTTCTCTCTGTGTCAGAGGGGTGTTCTCTCTCTGTGTCAGAGGGGTGGTGTTCTCTCTGTGACAGAGGGGTGTTCTCTCTGTGTCAGAGGGGGTGTTCTCTCTGTGTGACAGAGGGGTTTCTCTCTGTGACAGAGGGGTGTTCTCTCTGTGTGACAGAGGGGTGTTCTCTGTGTCAGAGGGTGTTTCTCTCTGTGACAGAGGGGTGTTCAGAGGGTGTTCTCTGTGTCAGAGGGGTGTTCTCTCTGTGTCAGAGG